AGATAGATAGATAGATAGATAGATAGATAGATAGATAGATAGATAGATAGATAGATAGATAGATAGATAGATAGATAGATAGATAGAATACCAAATTGCAGATCAGAACAGGTTGTTGTTCATATGTATATTGCTTTACAATATTAAAAATATTTTCTTCATATTGTCTCAACAGCTTTGTAAAACAAGCCAGCTACTGTATTATTAATGACACATGGCAGATTTGAAAGGTGGAGCAGAGATACAACAGCTTGTCCATTTAGTCCATGGTAATATCTATAGTTAAGCCTAACTCAGACTCAGGCTCTTAGTCCTTCATTCTGTGTAAAATGACAAACATGGCTGGTTGTAATCCACCAGCAAGTTTAAAAAACAGGAGGTAAGCAGGAAGCACCACATGATTTGGGGGGGGGGGAGTGGAAAAAAACACAAACAACAAGATACATCTCTTCTTGAGAATCCCCCTCAGGAACACAGCCACCTGAGGTTTAGAATCCAAGGCTGCTGGATGCTCCTGACTCTGCAAAACTAAATCTGTGATCATCTTCCCAAGTTTGCCACAGCCCCGTAATTGCTATCTGGCATTCTAGAATGGACAGAAAGTTAATCTGAAGGCAAAATGTTTTTTTTTCTCATCTTCCACATTAAGGGATTGTGCTTACTATATAACTGAGCTCAGAAAATTGTGTTTTAAAAGTAATCTGTCACAGATGCAATTCCAGGTCTGGTAGTTAAGTTACCACTGTAGTTAGTTTTTAGAAGTAATGTTCTGGTTATTTTTCAAACAGAAACAAACATGTTTTTTTAAAAAATTACTTTGAATGTTACCATTTGGTGCCCTGTGATACCAAAAATGTTTTCCCATCCAACCTGTCACTCCTGTACCCACCACAGAGCATGAGGCAAGAGCATGAGAGGCAGCCGAAGTGAGCAACTGAATCATGTGATATTCTTTCTCCACTATAAAGCCACAGCCCCATAGCTGTGACTAAAAGTAACTAAAACCGGTACAGCTATACAAATGGAGTGAAGTTATCCCTTATTAAGTAGAATCATAATATAAAACAATTATATCTTTGTTACAGCAAAGCGTGCTGCTTATATAAAAAAGCATGCTGCTTATATACCACCCCATAGCACTTCAAGCACTCTCTGGGCGGTTTACAAGTTAATTACGCAGACTACACATTGCCCCCCCCCAGCGAGCTGAGTACTCATTTTACCGACCTTGGAAGGATAGAAGGCTGAGTCAACCTTCAGCCGGCTACCTGGGATTGAACCCCGGGTCATGAGCACAGTTTTAGCTGTAGTACAGCAGTTTAACCACTGTGCCATGAGGCTCATGTAGCTGATTGCATTCAGGAATGCATAGGGGAATACAGTGGGGTCTCTACTTAAGAACGTCTCTACTTAAGAACAATCCAACTTAAGAACAGCTCCATTTGCTAAATTTTGCTTCTACTTGAGAACAGAAATCCAAGATAAGAACAGGAAAAAAACCTTTCCTGCTCTTTTTTTAACCTTAGGTCATCTTAGGTTAAAAAAAAAACTCCCCTTAGCGGTAGAGTACGTATTAACCAGCTTTGCATTAGTTCCCAATGGACGAACGCACCTCTACATAACAAAAAAACAGCCAGAACGGATTAATTGGTTTTCAGTCCATTCCTATGGGAAATTTTGCTTCAACTTAAGAATGTTTCAACTTAAGAACACCATTCCAAAACGGATTAAGTTCTTAAGTAGAGGTTCCACTGTAGTTTCTATGGACGGAAAAGAGCAGATACGGATTAAATGGTTTTCAATGCATTCCTATGGGAAATGCAGATTCAACATAAGAACTTTTCAACTTGAGAACCACCTTCCAATACGGATTAAGTTCTTAAGTAGAGACCCCACTGTAAGAATTAATCTCCAGGTACTCTTTACTTTCCAGCCATGTAAATGGGATACTTTGAAAGTGCTTGTGTGCCAAGAAGCGAGAACTGCATGACTAATTTTAGCTAACTGACAAGGTGCTGGATATGGCAGTCATGTACTTGCGAAGTACACAACTGGAATGCAATCAGCTACGTGACCTACATGTAATTAGTATCCTGGTCAATTAACTGCAGCAGCATCCACGATTGCTCTTGCAAGAGTATAAATATCCAGTGAGATTCAAACTCCCCATGTGGTCTTCAAGTGCAATAGGAACGGCCGGGATCCAATGGTTGCTGTAGGTTTTTCAGGCTGTTTGGCTGTGTTCTTGAGGTTTTTCTTCCTAACGTTTCACCAGTCTCTGTGGCCGGCATCTTCAGAGGACAGGAACTAGAACTCTGTCTGTGTTCTGGTGTAGTATGTGGGATTGTTGAGTGATTTTTCCCCTTTTCTACACAGAAATTTCGGTGCACTTTTTAAAAATTATATTCACAGTTCTCATGCATTTTCTCCACTGACTAAAGTAAAGTTTGCAGAGGTATTTCCAAGTATATAGATTTTAGCCATGCACATTTTGTAAGCCCACACATGGATTTGTTTGCTTTTTATTTGCTTTTTATTTTACCAACACATGCTGCAAGGCTTTTTGGCTGCTGGCAGTCTTGGAAGACATGTAACGACATTTTCATAGGGAAAAGTGAGCTCAACAGATTTATTTTCCATCCCTTGTGGTAGCTATGGAGATAATACGGTAGCATCCTTTCATTTTTCCTCCGTGCAGTTTGTAAAATTGGGTGGTTCATTAATCAACTGCCTGCCAGGTACATTTTGAACAAAAATTGTTCTCAGTTTGTTGTGGAGAGGGGAAAGGTGTACAAACAAGCAGTTCTTGCACACACACACTCTACTTTCCACCTCCCAGGATAAAATCACTCTTTTTCAAAGACCATTTCCTTATGAACCCTCTAATTTTGCAGCCTGCAAAGAGAAAATAAAAGAGCTTTGACCTTTTGTCAAGCAAATTGCCCCTTAATGCCCAGTGACTGGTAGATGCCTTCTCTATGGGAGCAAAATGGTAAGGAAATAGCTGGAGATCTTTCTTGAGAGATTTGAATGAGAAAGATAACTCTGGAATGTCTGGAATTTGAAAGCTCTCAGAGCAGGGGGAAGGTAATGACCTCCTCCCTCCACTTCCAGTCAAAGCAGCACTGTAGAAAGAAACCTCACTGTGTGGGACAGAAAAAGACAGAAGCGGGAGCAGAGTCTTCGCTCTTGCATGGGTGGGGAGGATCCTAGTCTGCCTCTCTCAGTCCCTGGGAATTTGATACAACCCAACACATGTGCAGAGTGCAGGCCTCCACCCGTGCTCTCCTAGCACATCTCCAAGGACAATAAAAATTATAATAATGTGTTGTCAGGTCCATTCTGATTTCTGGAGACCCTTCTTCGGGTTTTAGGTAGTAAAATATTTAGAAGTCGTTTACTATTCCTTTCTTCCAGTTGTGCTCTGGGACTGTGAAGCTTTCCCAAGGCCACACAGACTGGCTTTTTTGTTTTGTTTTCAGGTCCCCTCTGAGGTTTTTGTGAAACCACACACTTTTTTGCTTGTTGGAATTGTTTTAGTTGTGCATTTAGAACTTCTCATTTTAGAAACTCGCACAGTTCCTGGACTCCTTTTCTTGTTAGGATCTCCTGCCATGGGACCTCACTTATCATTGTCCTGAGTTCATCAAAATTAGCATCAACGCCAGCTTCATAGCTAATCATTCACTTGGAGTATTTCCTTTTCCCTTTCTATTCCTCTTCCAAGGATGGATGAGAAAAGGATGGTAGGATGGATGAGAAAAGTATCTGGGTCCCGAAGTCCTTAAGTTTCTTCTTGAGAGCTTCAGAGTCTGATGTGATGTATTTTCCTCTATGAGACCAATCCACACAAAGACTGAAATGTATTTTTGTTGAACTACACTGTGTAAGGCTTATAACATCATCGACCATGACAAATTTTTAGATTTTTTAAAATTTCCATGGCTTGCCCATGATACAACTTTTTTATTTCTGAAAAATCCCTGTGGTTGATGACATTATCAGCTTTTTCCGGCACAGCTCCAGGAGCACAATTTCAGCCAGTTAGTTTCATTCTGCACTCAGCTAACTGGTTTCAGACTTTTCCAAAGTAGAATATCATCTTGCATTCTGAGCTCATACTATGCAAACATACTTCTCTGTGGTACATTTGTTATTCAAGCTAAATTGGCTACTGCCACTGTCAAACCAACCTGGTAATATATCGATACCACCTAACCTCCATGGAAATGGTATAAACAGGGGTGAGGTGGGTGAGAACATAAACAAATGTCGCCTCTTCTAAATGCAACTTCATAATCCTACCTGGGTTTCCAGTTCTGTAACTTCCAAATTCAGCTTATTCAAGTGTTTATTCACAAAAGTTATGAGGGTCTGAAAATTGAGAACACATGTAGGTGACTTTTTAGATCAGCAAATTCTAAAATTTGAAATATATGAAAATAAAAAACATATAAGCCATCAGCAGCCTCTCTGAGATCCAGAGGAGGCTGGGAGGAGGGAAGTGCAAATGTCTCTGGGAACAGTGTGATGAGAAGCACCTGGCAGGGAGGGAGAAGGGTCTGTTACCAGGTTTAAAGGAGGATAGGGAGGAAGGTTCAGGGTCTTCTGCTGGGTCTGGGACACAGCAGGGGACCCCACAGAGGAGGAGGAGGAGACTTAGAGCTCAGTGACGGAGGAGCTGGGGCCTATCTTTTGTGCAGGAGCAAGCGGACAACGCCTGGTAAGAGTTCCGGCAAGCAGCTTTCAGGCAGCTAGAGACCATGGCCAAGGAAAGTGGAACTATTGCCACCAGCCTTGGAGAAGGCTCCTGCTTTACCAGCTCCCTGGCACCTGAGATACCTGATAGGTTCTGCAGTGCCCTAAGCCACTCAGGTACTGGCAGGCCAAATGCCAGCACGAGAAAGAGAAGTTTCTCTGAGGAGCAGGGGTGCAGCTAATGCTCGCTGCCAGCTGCCTCCACCAACCCTCATTGAAAGGCTCCAAGGCTGGTCCTGGACTGGGCTTGTTCCTCATCAAAACTTCACTGGCATCAGTGACAGGAGATGAGGCCAGTACTGAACTGACTGTTTCCAGGGGACTACTGCCAGAAACTGAGTCCCCCGGCGTGAGGGAGGGCAATGACAGGAATCCACTGTTGAAGGTACCAATGAAAGTAAGACGCTGCTCTACCTCCTGCTTCCATAATTTGGCCTGAGGGTTCCCACCGAATTATAGCACTAGGAGTTCATTTTTTCAAAAAGTCCGATCCTGAGTGCACATACTTGCACTTGCTTGATGTGTGCTCCAGAATCCCGGTGGAAATTCAGTAACTGCCAACTAGAAGTGACCGAATGGTATATTGTTTACATATGCCTCTCTGAACCACTCTATAACTGGGCTCTCATTAGTCTTAAAGCTGGAGATAGGAACTTGTGGCTTTCGCCATGTTGTTGGGATTCCTCCTCCTCCTCCTCCTAAGCCAGCATAGTTACCCATGCACGAAGGAAAAGGGGTGATGGTATCCACCAACATTGGAAGGAAATACAAATTCCCCATTCTCAACCTAAACAAGTGATACTAACTACTGAAGCAAGCATTTGTGGGAACCACATAATTCACAATGTCCACTCTAGCACAACCTTCTCTCTTCAGGGATAACAGGAACTATAATCTGGAAAATGCTGGGTTCGGGATGCTTGCAGGTGTTTTATCATTAACATAAGAAGAGGACATACACACCATGCATAAGGTACAGAAGGAAAAAGAAATGCATTTTTGAACTAACGGCGAATCAGACATCCTCTTTGGCCACCGGGCAGGAAGGCGAGATGCAAAATTTTCAAATTATGCTACCTTGACTGACTTCCATCTGATATCCAGAATTTATTTGTATCAGGCAGCAACAAACATGCAGCAAACAAGATAACAGAACTGAACCATGTGAAATTCCATGGCAAATTTGAAGAATTTGTTTCACCTATATCCAGTCTATTTCTATGCTATTTAAGTAATATGTATCAGACAGAGGAACACAATCCCAACCTTTTTCACAACATTGAGCTTGTCTGGAGCATGGTCAAACAGTGTGTCAAAGGCATCTCGTTCTGAAATAGAGGAGATGACAGCAACTTATTACCTAAGGTACCACTGAAGAATGAGCAGTCCAGGTTTCAAGTAACTTAACTACACAATAACAGAAGAGTCTAACATCTTTAACAGAATCTTAAGCAGGAATTTAACAACTACCAACATTTCAGTCCCTGAGATTCTCTATTATATCAGATTTGCACTAAGGACTTAGAAGGAAGACATGGGAAATGAACTCAAAAGAACTATAACATAGTAGACATAGTCTGTCTTTCTTTAAGAGACATCTGTTCCCAAGGCGAACATCGAATGCTTTCAGAAAAAAATGTCACAAACCATTCCCTAGTTTGATGAGTATAGGGTTCCCAATTATTTGCTCTTTAGAAACTGCAAGTTGCTGTACAAAAAATTAGGAGGACTACCCCTGACCCATGGTAAAAGTAGTCCTTAAACAAAGTATCTCTTGTTCATCATGTACAGGACTACAGAACATTTTTAGTCAGTTCTGTACCATGGTGCTACTTCCTTACATATCCAGGTTCCATGGATAGTGTAGTCTATTCTATTCAGAGGAATGACATCCATGGGTAGATGGATGCTCAACTGATGTATTCTGGACATTCTCAAGTTAACAATAAGTCTGCACTCAGCTGGTTTTGAATTCAGTAAGGAACATTTAAAAAAAACCTCTGGAAAACACTAGAAACAAATGAGATTTACCGTGCCGTCCTGACAGTGCCCTGTAGAAAAAGAAATAAGGCAATTATACATGAATAAACTATTACAATAATTTAATGTATTTTATTCGAAGCCAAAAGGCTAATGTATACATGAAGTCACCTGGTCATATATATGGCTTTGAACTGATACCAAATGAAATGTAACCCTGCAGGACTTTCCATAACATACCAAAATTTCTACTGACCTCAAAAAAAGTGGATGCTTCATCAAAATTATAATTCCCCCCCACCCCTGGTCTGGCTAAAGCCTAATTAGAGGAGAAAAGGTGATAAATGAATCTCCCCTCTACTTAAGATGTAAAAAAGGTTTTGAAAAAAAGGTTCAGTTACTTGGTCTCAGTTTCAGGACACCTTTTCTAGGCTATAATTTGTTAAAATCAGACATCTAGATTTGGGGAAAAAATACTCAGGGCGTTCTTCATAACTCCAAATCAGATTTTTGAGAGGTATAGGAATCTTCAAGGTGGAGGGAAGATTAACCTTTTCCTTCCTCCCCACCCCAGTTCTACAGACATTAGTTCTATCCATAGAAAAATTTCATTTGATGTCACTTTTTGTCAAAAACTGCCTTCTCTTAGAACACCAGGTAATTAATATTAAATATGGGTAAATATTTGAAATTCAATTAGGCAATGAGGTTGACATACTCAGTGTTACCAGTTATTTCCTCCTGGATTTGTCGAGATTGAAGGATCCCTTCACGCTTCTGGGGAAAAAAAAGATATATGTAATATTTATACTGTATTATATAATAATTTACAAAATGTATAGCCCTGTACAATATTTGTGTGAAAATTCTGAATGGACTTTCATGATAAACATCTCTAAATCCAGCAATATTTTCCCTTCCTTCAATATAAGGGGAGTGCAAACTTATATTTAAATATGAGTAATAACAGATAGCCAAGTTTGTACTAGAAAAGTTTCTGGGATAAGAACTTGGTTCTACCTGCTTGGAGTCAGATTACTGTATATACATTTTTTCACTCAACTTTTGTAAGAGGCACTGTATATTTTTCTGTTTAATAAGTCATCAAATGTGAGAACAAGCTACCAACTGAGTAGCATAATTTGTTATATTTGAAAAATGATACGAGAAGCACTATAACAGATGGCCAGAATTATCCATGCATTGGTAACATCCAGATCACCTGTTGTTTGAGAGGAATTTTGTGGCAAAACTTCCACCAGAATTAGAAATTAAATGTCACAGTATAAAATTTACAGGCCTGACCAGAACAAATGTCCTAATGAGCATCCATGATGTTCAGGTGTGTCAAAATGCTGAGTCACTGTGACTCAGGAGGGCTGGCTCAAAGATGATGCAACATCTGTGCTGATTGGACACAGCCAGAGGCATAAGTGTATATATGTGGACTGTGCAGAGAAGATGTATTCCTGCTCTTCCGATGAATTCATGGTATCATGCTGTCACTCTGTATACTTGTAAATATCCTGTAAATATACGTCTGGTGGTGGAAGAAGCTGATCGTGTTTGTGTGATTATTTTGCCACAAGGGCCTTGAAGTTACTCTGCTGAAACTTTTCCACCTGTTCATGCACTAACATTAAAAGTGATTGTTCTGCAGAAAGGTATCCAGCAGAAAAATGTGCATGCACCAATGTAGAAGGCAAAGCATTTCCTACTGGCTGAAGCCCTGTTGCTAAGTGCAAGAAAATGCATAACTTTCAGTCTATTCCTAGCTTGGGGGGGGGGAGAGAGACCCTGCCACATTTTGTGGGTGCGGCAGGCATACTGGCTTGGTTCACGTGCATGTGCGCCCAAGAATTGTGGTGAGATAGGTATGGGCTGAAAGTTACAGATTTTCTTATAATAAGCAACAGGATTTTGGCCATTCTTTATACCTGAGTGACAGGTTTTCACTTGTGCATATTTCAAAGAAGCCACATTTTGCATTAGGATCTATAGCACAAGACCAGACAAGTAACATACTGTACAAACAAGAAAAAAAGGACAGGAAAGGAAGAGAGAAGATGTGTCCTGCTAGAAGAAAAGGAAGCCAAGCATGACTGAAATATAGCACAATCAAATAACAAAACAAACTTGCCACAAGAACAAGAAACAACTAAATCTAATGAAAACATTTTTAAAAACAAGAACAGAACAAGCTCAAAGTGTTGGAATGGTAGGGTTAACAGTTTAGAATTACTGTACATAAAACTAGAAAGGGCATTACCATTGTGCTGAGTGAATGAACATTGGACTACAGATTGTTTAGCCCAGTGCTCCATCAGAACATTTAAAGCAGAAAGGAGCAAGTTCATGAAAGTAAGAATGTGAAATGTTAAGAATACCATCTCCAGAGAGGATTTCTTGAAAACTGCACTCAAAATTTACAAACTAAACTAAAGCCATTTTTTGAACATAAATACTGTATGGAAATGCATAAATATGGAAGTTAAGGTGCTGTACTATAAAACATGGTAACAGTGTACTAAGCTATACCTAAGGAAATACTTCTTTTGAGTCTTCCATATTGAAGAACTTCCTGCAGGAGAACCAACACATGCATTTCAAACTGATTGATTCTACACTTTCTCAGTTCGTGAGAAGTGCACAGAAACTTAGAGATACAGTATATATATATATAATTCGTACCTGGACCACCACAACTTGAATAGACACATGATCTGGCAGTCTGATTGGGGCCCGAAAGTATTGTGATAAGGCAACCAAAAGGTGCAGTATTGCAACTAGACTTTTAGCATGGACAGCTGAAATAAATTAAGAACTCAAGTTACATAAAAGAAAACTAAAATAAGTATTTATTTTTACATGAAGTGCCTCCTTCCATAGTTATGTGGGATATTTTATCCTTCCATGTCGTTCCCCACTAGAGACTGCTAAAAAGGTATTTTCCTTGAACTATTTCTCTTTCCTGCCATAAATCAACTAGTCCTACGAAAGCAACTTATATTCCTCAAGGTAGATTTTGTTGCCTGGATTCCATTGGCTTGAAAGATAGAAATCTAAGCTTGATTCAAAATGCAGTTTTTTTTAATTCAGCTGTATTAAGTGCTATCTATACACTCCTTCCATTTCTTTATCCTTGCTATTCTAGTGTCAATGTATGAACTATGCAAAGGGCATTTTTGTATTCATAACATGCACTTAATTCATTTTTAAGTGTCACAATGTCTGCAGAAAGATGAATGAGCCCATTTAGCTTGTACCCTTGAGCAATAACTTACTAAACTGAATGACTCAAACATTCCTCATGAACTTCTTAAGAGTTCTTGTTATTGTAGCTTATTCACAGCAGGTATTGTACAGTTAACTAACAAGATAGCAAGGTATTAAAAGGCTTACTGCAGGAAACTTTTAATCTATAACCAAACACCTAGCATCAAAGAAAACAATTTACAACTGTATTATAGAAGCAGTACAGGTATTGTTGCCTTCTTGTAACAGTATTACCATCAACTTTTCAGGCACAGTTCTACCACTTTCAGATTTAGCTATGTTATTAACCCATTGCTGCCTTTTAGACTGTTCACACATTGATACATAAGCAAAAGAACAGAAGAGCCAATAAACTGGCCTCTTTTTCCTAGTGGAAAAAGGGATCCTTCCATCAAGAAAGAATCATGAAGTCCAACATTCTGTTTAACATTTATCCCTTTTATTGCAGAGACTCTCTTACATATCTACTACAAACTTTACATGCTTCTTACAGGGTACGCATAACTAACTAACTAACTAACTAACTAACTAACTAACTAACTAACTAACTAACTAACTAACTAACTAACTAACTAACTAACTAACTAACTAACTAACTAACTTTTTAATTATATACAACCCCATTAGTGCTATGCATTATTCTGGGCAGTTTACATATGTTAAAAACTAATCATCATCATCATCATCATCAAACATCACTGAAGGAAAAAAACAGTAACCCATATGAGCTAGAACACAGAAAGACAAAGGCTCCCCAATTTCCGCCAATTACAAAATAAACTAGTAAAAGATCTACTGAATGATGCAAATGTTGTCATCAGAACAATCCCAACCAACACACTAAAGAAAACAAACCAGCTCATGTATAGCACAGCTACCATAATAACCAAGGAACTTGGTTACAAGCTGCAAAAAGACAAAAACAAACAAACAAACAAAAAACAAAAAATGAAAAAACCCACAAAACCCAGAAACTCCTGGCACCCCACAATGGAAAATTTGGCAGGAAAGAAAAATACACAAATTACGTGCATGCATCAGCAACTTAAAACATTTGAAAGATTGAAAACTTAGACATGAAAAAGTAAAACCCAGACTATGCAAAATGACTTAAAAAGGAAAACAATAGTTGAAACTATGGAAGAATTAAAACGGCGTGTAACAGTTATAGCAAAGAAAATTGAAATATATGATGGCCGCTTGAAATAATATAGAGAAAACACGCAATTTCAAAAGAACCAATGATAATTCTATACATCACTAGGAGAAAATGCAGAACAAAAGAAATTAGGCCCATGTAAAGATGATGCTCCAAAATTTTGGAAAGAAATGTGGGAAAGCACAACAAAACATGGCAAAAATGCTTCATGGATTAAAGACATTTGTGAAGAAACTCAGGGAAAACAAATGGATGATATTGTAATAACAACTAAAATTATTAAGAGGCAAGTAAAGGCTCTGAAAAACTGGAGTGCACCAGGTCCAGATGAGCTGTATGGATTTTGGTTAAAGCATCTAACAAAAGTCTCCATCAATGTACAGTAGTGCCTCGCATAGTGACGTTAATTCGTTCCACAAAAATAGCTGCAGAACGAAAATGTCTCTATGCGACATTAAAAAACCAATAGAAATGCATTGAAACCCCTTCAATGCGTTCCTATGGGCTTAAAACTCACCATTCAGCGAAGATCCTCCATAGCGCAGCCACTATCGCTGCCCGATAAGCAAGGAATCCATCCCTAAACACAGCAGGCGGCCATTTTGTTTACCCGGCAGTCATTTTGAAACCGCCGATTAGCTGTTAAAAAAATCATCGCTTTGCGATGATTGGTGCCCGAAGCAGGGAACCGATCATCGCAAAGTGAAATTCCCCCATAGGGAACATTGCAAAGCGATCGCTATACGAGGTGTTGTTGAAAGCGATCGCTTTTGCAATCGCAAAAAAAGCGTCGCAAAGCGATTTTGTCATAAAAGCGATCGCTATACGAGGCACCACTGTATAGCAGTGCAATTTAACCACTTAATTCAAAATTCTACAACTGAAGACTGAATGACAACAGGCTGCACATTTCTGATAATAAAAGATCATCAAAAGGGCAACAACCCAGTAATTATCAACCAATTACATGCCTTCCAACAACATTCAAGTTCCTCACAGGAGTACTTGCAGGATCAATATATAATTACTTAACTGAGAGCTCCCTGTACAGTACCCAACTGAACAGAAAGGGAACTTTAAAAAGTCAAGAGGCACAAAAGATCAGCTGCTTATTTATAAAAATCATACTGAAGAATATAAAAAGATAAAAACAAACCTTAACATGGCCTGGATAGATTATAAAAAGGCATTTGATTCATCGCCACATATCCGCCTAAAAATGTTTGGGATTAGTAAAAACATTCAGAAGAAAACTCAAGAAAAAGACGGAAAAATGGGAAACCGTCTTAATGGCGCATGGTGAAGAAATTGGGAAACTTAGCATCAAAAGAGGAATATTTCAGGGGGATTCCTTGTCACCACTGCTGTTTAACATCTCACTAATCCCCATGTCAATAATTTTAAATAACAATGGATTGGGCTACCATATTTCAGAACAAGCAGGAAAAATCAATCATCTGTTATACATGGATGACTTAAAACCATATGCAAAAAGTTCCACAGAGATACAATCACTGCTAAACACAGTGCAAATATCTAGTGAAGATATCCAAATGAAATCTGGAATTGACAAATTTGCAGCTCTGGCTATACACCATGGCAAGATCCAAAAACTAGATGGAATAGAATTAAAAATGGCAATATTATAAAATCACTATGAAGTAATGAAAATTATAAATACCTTGGAATACTAGAAGCAGACAACATCATGCACACAAAAGTTCAAGAACTGACAGAAAGAGATATCAAAAGACTACAGAAAATCTTAAAATCAAAATTAAATCGTGGAAATAGAATTTAGGCCATAAACACATGGGCAGTTCCAGTCATTAGATACACAGCTGGAATAATAGATTGGACTCAAAATAAATTAGAAGAATTGGATCGAAAAAGACAGAAACGTATGAACATGCATCACAAACTACATCTAAAAAGTGATGTAGAGAGATTATAATTACCACAAAAAAATCGGAGATTGTGGATTACCGCAAATACAGCAGATAGTTGAGGAGGAAAAGAGAAGCCTAAATTATTATATCAGTACAAGCAGAGAAAAATTACTGAAAGCAGTGAAAATGGAGAATATTTTGAAAACGACAAAAACCAAGGTTCAATATAAGATACAACAACTGGAAAATAAATTAAACAGCTGGAAAAATAAACCACTACCAATAAGAAATATTGATAGAAAGCATGATAATAATTCAACATGGGCATGGCCAAAACTGGGGACCCTTAAGAAAGAAACGGAAGACTTGCTTTTTGCTGCACAAGAACAAGCACTCCAAACCAATGTGATGAAAGTTAAAATCCAAGGAATTAGTGCTAACAGCAAATGTTGACTCTGCCATGAAAAAGGTGAAACTGTGTCACACCTCATCTGTACATGTCCAAAGACTGCACAGACTACAAAGTTAGACATAATAAGAGTGGAAAAGTTACTGCACTGGTCATTATGCAAAAAATATAACTTGCCAGCTTCCAAAAACCCATGGGAACATCAGGTAGAAAAGTTGTCAGAAAATGAAGAAGAAGACCTTGTGGGATTTCTGGATCCAAACGGGTAAAAACCTTGAATATAACACACCAGACACAGTAGTAATAGAACGAAGAAATGTCCGGATCACTGACATTGCAATTCCAGCAGAGGATGCACAAGTTGAAAATAAAGAATTGGAAAAACTAACAAAGTACAAAGACTTGGCAATCGAAACATCTCGTGTCTGGAAGAAACATATTTCAGTGGTCCCCATGGTCATTGGGGCTTTGGGAACAACATCAAAAAAACTTCACACAGTACGGTAAACAGTTGCAGATCTCAGAAATCACAGCATCAGAGCTACAAAAAACAGCAATATTAGAAACAGCATACATACTGCGCCAATATTTAACAGATACTTAGGTTTTTGTTTAAAAGTTGCATCTGTTATATAATACCGGTGAATTTTTTAATAATTTTGACTGTGCCTGGTGTTTGTAAACAACAACAACAACAACAACAACAACAACAACAACGTTAAAAAACACAAAAACTTCAAGAGGCATAAATTGTAAGAATAAATTTAAAAAATTAAACAGGATATCACCGTGAATGATATCCTCTCTGGAGACCCTCAAAGAAACTGTGAAGGAAGCCCTAAGAACCAGCAAGGAGAACCAGCAAGGATTTCTAATGGCTGCCACCTCTAACTGTAGCTGCTATTACTATCTGTTGTTTCATAGAGGGAGAGGGCAGGCGGCAGCAGATGCTGCCCCTCCTTTCTGCTGATTTCCTGCCTACCTGTCACAACACATTCTGAGTCTTTAAAATTGCACCCCAGAAACATGGGAGGGGAAAGAGTATATCTGTTGTTTTTTCTCTTCCTCAGAGTCTTTTAAAGCTAAGAATTTCTCTTCTTTGCTTAATTATGTCATATGCCACCTCACAGTGGATAGAGCACTATGGTTTACAAGTCAAAACTATAATAATCATAATTTTCTAGAAACAGGAAGTGACCCCTGGTTGGCTCAAGAAAGGCTTGTGGGAGGGGGGAGATGACAAATTTTCATCACAGTGGCTTCTGAGTGAACAGCTCTCCCCATTTTTTGTATGGCTACAAACATTTAAGGGAGGGAAG